AGGAAGGAAGGAAGGAAGGAAGGAAGGAAGGAAGGAAGGAAGGAAGGAAGGAAGGAGTAGAAAGAAGATATAGAATGTGCGGCTCATTCTCTGCTTGAAGAAGTGTCTCTTTCATCCTAAGACTGGAAGAACTGGATGGTGCCCAGTTATCATCTCTGAATATTTTGATCAAAGATTTCACAGAAAAATCTTAATCAAAAGGGGGGAAATGCAGAGCAGAATTGAAAATCACTATGTACTCCAGACTTTCTAGACTGAACTTATCACTGAAGCTACTCCTTGAGATAATCTTTAAAACTTAAACCAAATATTTTCCCTGAAGTCATAAAACCAAACAGTAGTCTAGTTCAACTAAGAAAAATATCTGCCTTGAGTATTATTCTCTTTTAAGGACTATCTGTACTAGACCGAATTGAAAATAGCAACTCAAATATTTTCTAGGAATCATGAGGACAGGGAGTTTATGTTAGTCAGGGAGGAACAACCAGGAAAAAGAAGGTGAGAATGGTTATGACAGCTTGAAAAATATAATCAGTATCATTGAACTGCATGTGTAAAAAATGCTGAGTTAATATAGTGGCAAGAACCTGCACTGCAAACCCGGAGACCTGGGGTTTGAGGCCACCAGCTGCTCTGTGGGGGAAGGATGGGCGATCTCCTCCCAGGCGATAAACTGTCTCTGAAACCTCACTGGAGGGTCAGCTATGAGTTGGTTCTTACTCAATGGTACACAACAACAACAACAATCTCAACAATAAAATAAAAATAAATTACAAGAAACAGAAAAATCCTCAAAGGTTTCATATATTTACTTTTTAGACTTTCACATCTATTTGAATGGCTAATTGCTTCGGAATAAATAAATACATACTTTAAAAGTTGATCTGTTTTTAAGGGAGCTCTGGTGGCCTCTTCAGTACTTTGGAGAGGTCCCTAACAGCAGACTTTGCCATGGCAATGCGCCTTTTAATTTCCTGGCTACTTGTGCTGAGAGTGTTGACTGTGGAGCCAAGCAAACTAAAGCTGTGAACAATCTCAATCTCTTCACCATCCACCCTGATGCAGAAGAGCAATGTTGTCTCTATGGAGACTAAGGTGCGTCTGATACAGGCCATGGTCTTCGCGATCACTTGTTATGCATCAGAGAGTTGGACAATGACCAAGGAGGATAGAAGGAGAATTGATGCCTTTGAGCTGTGGTGCTGGA